GAGTTCCCACACTGAAAGGAGGTCTTGACCTCCTGTTCTTACATATATATATACACACACACACACACACACACACATACACACACACACACACATACCTTCTGTGTTGTTGATGTTGATATTACAGATTACTGAGGATTGTCCATCTGACAAACCATTTCAGTCTATATACTCTTTATGTAACAATGAATCAGTTAATATTACAGCACCAGACTGGTTTCAGAGTTGCCATTGTAATAAAGGCTTTCCTTGGGATAGGGTGGTTGTGTAGTTCCCGTTAGTAAAGTTTGGTTTTATAACTGGTTGTATTGATTTTCTGGTTGGCATGATCTGTATTTAAACATACTGGTTTTCTTTTTTATTTGTAAGCTGCCCAGAGTGGTTAAGGAGATGGATGGCCTCAAAACTGGAAAATAATTACATTTTTATTTTTCAAAGGTGATTTTATGAACATCGGTTTTAGTCTTCAGCCTATTTATCTGAAATAATCCCACAGAAGTCAGTAGCAACTTCCTCAAAAGCAAGCTTTTATACAATTATAGCTTGGCTATCTCTTTTCTGTCTCATTCTCTGCTTCTTAATCCCCATTTTGTAGCAGGTCCTCAAAATATTCTTGCTGTTGCAGACTGCCTTAAAGTGATTGAAGGATTAATGGGATTCTATGACCATCACAAGGCAAGACTGACAAGTACCTAAGGCTATAGTTACACAAACAATTCCCTAAACTGAAGATTTTAATATGCTTCCTATCTCTGCTTCTTGCTCAGTAAGCAGCAAAACAATTAACACAGTTGACTTTGAAGCCGTTCTTCTTTCCTTTTAATTGCTATCTTTCCAAGCAGCCCAGAAAGGGGAATATAATTTATACTTACTTATTCCTCTTTGTGAATGTTGTGTGTGTCCCTTGAGGTGGGTAGGGGGCTTGAGTAACCAAAGCCAATGAAAAATATGGGAAACTGGATTTCTCCTCTCAAACTTTTTCTAGTCTGAGCTGCTGTTTCAGGCATTTTTCCACCCAAGAATTAATCTAACCCATCTATGCTGCTGCGTAATAGACTATGAAATCGGACATGACCGATTGATCACTGAGCATTGATTTACATGAAAATGAACGGGATGTAAAGAAAGCATCCAGAGCTGTGAAAAGAGGCTGTTCATTCACTTTACAAAATGAATTGATTTACTTAGCAGCTCAGCAAGAAGATTAAACATGTTTGCGTCCCAGTGAAATAAGCAGTGGCGTTACAAGGCAATGAGGTGGACAGGGAGGCTGCGGAGATAACTTGGTGGGTCTCCACTGCACGGTCGTTCCAACTAGAGGCTTTGTCCTACCAGTCAGCTGATCAACCTGTTTGTGTTCTTTGGACTCGTTGATCCCAGCAGCCACAGAACTTACGATTTACAATCATCGTATCAGGTGTTAAAATAGATTTAAGTTGTTCAGAAGAAGAAGCAATTAACAGCCCTGGAGAGCATGTGGTAATTTCAGGAGACGAGTTTGCTGTGTTCCAAGAGATCATGAGCATGGTAAGCAGCAGAATAAGACCTGAAGTTATTTTAAATGTACAAAGAGGAAAACATTTGTAATTACAAATTCAGTTTTTAGCATGAGTCCTCCATTTCTGACAGAAATTGGTCATCATATAATAACAATAACAATAATAATGATAATGCCGATCTATCCATTTTTCTAATCTGTAAAGGTACTTTTGATCAACTAGGTTCTAAAGCAGTGAAGGAAACAGTGTATCTAGACAGTCATTACACAGAGATTATAGTCAATTTTAATAATTTTTAAAACATTTATGATTTGCTCCTTAAGGCATTTTGTCAAACAGGAAATCTCTCCCTTCCCCTTTATAAATTTTCTGTCTAGGTAAACTGGGAAGTTGAAAAACATTCTGGAAGAAGGCAGTGGCAAACCACTTCTGTTGTCAAGAAAACTGTACTAATGTCCACATGACCAGAAGGAATCGAGCCTGATTTGAGGTCATCCTTACTTTATTAGTTATGCTGATACTTGCAGCCTTAGACAGAAATCAAGGAAAAGGTAAGAAAACTTGTGTGCATATACACATATACATGCACATATGCAGGGAAACCTGTTTCTATCATAAGGGGATCCTCTTCATGCACCATGTTGTCAGCCTGTGGACTTAACTGCTGCAAAACAATTTGATGGTGAGTAGCCTAAATGGAATCAGACAAATGTATCAGAATCTAATCCTCATGACAGATAATAGAACACACTGGAGTGGAGAAGCAATACTTTTCAGAAATGGGGTTATGTATAAATATGAAATTATTAACTTCTTTATGTTCTCTCTGTGAGCTTTCCAGGAAAAGAAAAGGAATACAAAACAATAGTCTTAATATGACTCTTAACACATTCCTACATTTTTCAAGAGATGGATACATGGATGTGTTCCTTGATAATTGTGATAAAATGTGTTACATTTTTGAAAGTATTTATTAATTGACAGGATACTTGTTCTTTTACAAAGTTAGAAACTGGGTTTTGTCTAATTTTTCCATTATAAATATTTTTGCAATTTTTTTTTACCAAAGCCATTGGTTTTCATAGAATTCCCTGAAATTATAGAGTAGGACATGTACTGAAATATGGATATTTAGTCACTGGCCACACCATCATGGCAATCATTTTATCAGTGTGGTCATCCAGAAGTTGCTGAACCAACATCCAGAAGCTTCAATCATCACATCCAATAGTATGGGATACTGGGTGCTGTAGTTCAGCAACAACTGGAGGCCCACAACTTCCGGCCCTATTTGTCAGCTCAACAAGGTAGACCAGACTAAGAAACCAATGCCATATAGGTCAGGTACTTTTATTGAAACAGCAATAGTAAAAGAATCCTGAAAGTCTGAATGTGCTTCCCATACCCTCACTTTATCTTCATGTGAACTAGGGAGAAACTTGCCTAAGACGTTTTCTCAAGTTATTTTCTTGACTCAGATTCAAGCCCCACTTATCTGACCATCTCCTTGGTAGCAGCCCCTCCTCCTGATCTTCAAGGCCATTCCCTATACCCTCTACACTGCTTTAGATAATGCTTCCTTTTTGTAAGAATGAGGCATATCCTTTATTCACTCTTTTATTTTAATCCATGTCAAGTGAATCAAATGAACTGCAGATGATTTAAATAATGCCATTTATAAATTCTGATACTTACGCAAATGTATAAATGCCTCTTTTAGTGATGTACTGCTCTTTTATTTTAGAGAGATGATCCTGTGACTATGGGGGACTGGAACTTGCTAGGCAGTATTTTAGAGGAAGTGCATCTCCATTCCACCATAGTGGGCAAAATCTGGCTCACCATCCTTTTCATATTTCGCATGTTGGTTCTCGGTGTGGCTGCTGAAGAAGTCTGGGATGATGAGCAAGCAGAGTTTATTTGCAACACAGAGCAGCCAGGTTGCAGCAACATCTGTTATGATAAAGCTTTCCCCATCTCCCTGATCCGCTACTGGGTGCTCCAGGTCATCTTTGTCTCTTCTCCTTCCCTTGTGTACATGGGCCATGCCCTTTATAGACTGCAAGCCCTTGAGAAAGAGAGGCAGCAGAAGAAAGCCCACCTAAAAGAGCAGCTCAAAGAGATACAGCCTATTATAGAAGATCACCGGAGAATAGAGAGGGAGCTGAAGAAGCTGGAAGAACAAAAGAAAGTGAACAAGGCTCCCTTGCAAGGGGCTTTGTTGTGGACCTATATCCTTCATATCTTGACCCGATCAGTCTTAGAAGTGGGCTTCATGGTAGGTCAGTATCTTTTATATGGGTTTCAAATGTACCCACTTTATAAGTGCACCCGTCCACCCTGCCCTAACACTGTGGATTGCTTTGTGTCCAGACCAACAGAAAAAACCATCTTCATGGTTTTCATGCATAGCATTGCAGCAGTTTCACTGTTTCTGAATATCTTGGAAATTGTTCATTTGGGAATTAAGAAGATTAGAAACACTCTTTGCAGGAGCTCCAAGGAGGAGCTACTGACTGCAGAGGAGGATGCCATTTTTAATTTCCCCAAGAAAAATTCAGTGATACAGCAGATTTGCAACATGAATAATTCAACCCACCAGGACAGTTACAAATTTAGGTCAGAGGAGCAAGGTAGGCTACCAGTCTCCTTGAATCTTGAAGAAGGATATATACTTACTGAACAAAATCAGCACCCAGGCAGTGTGGAACAACAATGGCACATAAACTATAGAAGTTGGCCAAATCATTATCAAGACCAACTGCATCCCTTCTATGGGCATCTTGGATATCCCAGTGAGAACGAACAACATCAAAATAGACTGTTCCCCAGGCATGATACAAGCTTCATGAGTCAGTGCCATAATGGTGAACATCCGATTGCATCCTGTAGCACTGACAACGTTCCAATGCAAGCAGGGCAGGCTATCAACCTCTACAGAAGGAATGAACCATATGTATCAGATGATTCTAAGAACCCTTCACACGCCTCTAAAATTTCCATAGTGTCCAACCACATGGAGAGCCCTCAAGCTATGTTTCGGAAGCATAGCTGGGAAGTTGGCCACAAGGACTTAGGAAATGACAATGGCAGCTCTCCAAACACCATGCCTTATCAGAACCACAGCTCCAGCATTTTACCCAGAATGCTGTCGAAGAGCCATCTGGACATCAACTCAGTGACCTCAGACTCACAGAATGGTTCTGTCTTGGAAGCTAAATGGCAAGATGATAGTAGTCCTCCTATCACACCATCATTTCCCTCCACAAGGGGACGCAGAGTGTCAATGGCAAGTAAACCCCAGCAGCCTTTCTGCTAGTGTGAGTTATTGTTCTTTAGCATCATTTTAGTCCAGGCCTTGGGCTTAGTGGTTTGTCTGTAATTACGTTCAAATATAAAGGGGGAAAGGTAGTGTGGTTCTTTCAAATCAAGGGACATCTTTGAAAAATGCAATTGGTTCAGTGGAAAGGCATTATTTATACAATACCAAACAAAATCAGCCGAGCATTATTTTAAAAAAGAGGGAGGAAACAAGACAAAAATAATTCATTTTTAAAATGTTATATGACCATTAACTTGCTGAACAAAGCTCCAAAATTCAGGATTTCTGTAACGACACAGATCAAGTTGTCTCTTTTGGTACATAATAATTTAAATACTTTTTTTTAAAGTATTCATTAAGATCAATCAGTGCTGTCACTGCTCAGGGTAGGTATGAACTGCAGTTTAAAACTTTTTAACATTAAGAAACATCAAGAAATCTTTCCACAAACACTCTTTCTCAAAACACAACTTCTTTTATTTTTCAAATTGGGAACCGAGATTGAAGGTTCTGTGTATCAAACCTATTCTATTCTGATCTCATGATATATGGATCCAAAATCTCTTTTATCAGACAGCATTAGACTCCTAACAGGCTATTCATGTCCAGGGGAAGCTTTTTTGTGTTAATAGGAAAGACAGAAAGAAGAGACTTTGACTCATGGTACAGTAGAAAGGGAAACCGTCTCAGTCAGTAATATCTGCAGATTGATTCAGATAGTCAAGAGGTAGTAAAATGGCAAGAAATGATAAGGTAAAAAAATAAAAAATAACAAGCATAGGCAACTGATGGTCTCTGGGATCACATCTAAATAATGGAGGATCCCAGGACATCTAGTCTATGTAGAACACTCTGGTAACTCTGGGTCAGGATGTACCCAGGCTTAGGTAACTGCCAGAGGATTTTAGGATTTTAGTGACTGTGAAGTGATGGTTAACATGAATAGAGCAATCTGTGCTGGGCAGGATAGATCAGAGGGTCCAAAATAGCATGTAGACTAAACTAACAGGCATTTGGAGGCAGATTCCCATTGCTGAATTGGTTTTTAATGCATTGGTTTCAATAGTCAAGAAGATGTTCAGTGAGCTGGAAATTTCTTCTTCAAATCACTGTACAACTCTAATCTTTGAGTATTCTTTGGTGAGCCTGTCTTTGCTTCAAACTTTCAAGTTTAGCATTTCTTAGCCTCTTCTGTGACAGGGCTTCCATTATCCCTTGCTGACAACAATCTGGCTGATGCGCATAAATTTTCCAGAGTGTAGAAGAATTATTATTTATAATGGAAATGTGGTCAAATGATGGACAAATGCACATCTCAGAACTTCCTCTTCCCTTATCGAATTGGTGCCTTCATTATATAAAGGTTAAAAAAGCAAGGGAAAAATACCCTTGTTTATGAGAACATTTCTCTATCACCTCCTATTGTTAACTCTATGTATTCATTTTGGAAAGCTATGTAAATTATATGCATTCAGAATATTGGCTATGAATAGAGAACAGTCCTCACTGTTGTTTATGATGAGTTTATTATCTGTATTTTAATGTATACAGTGTCATCCATTATGCACTATACATAATGGCAAGTTCGCATATCACACTAAGTAAAACTGTTGCTTTGTTTGCTTTTGGTTTAGGATGATCTGTGAACTCTCTTATAATGGGTTAGTATAAGGTACACGTTAGACCATTATGGTCTAGTCAACAAGCTATGATTTATACATTCCTAGATTCTTCTATGGGAACAAAGTCATGATGTGTATCTGTTATATAAACATAGGCACGTACACCTCTCTCTCCCTCACTCCACACTTGCAGAGTGAGCAACTGCTCTCTATAAACAAAATCCCTTCGTATATTTACATTTACAGACACAGTGTACTTGAACGTGCTACCAAACTTTATTTGAGATTAATATCTTGGGATCTTAAAGACACAGTATTTACCTTTAAAACATTCTTTGAGGCAAAAAGGTCTCTCTTTTTATTCTAATGGAATTTTATTTTAGGTTGAAACAGGCAAAAATTGTATCAAAAGAGTACCAAGTTTGTTTATCGCAGCATAGATTCACATTTCTAGATTAAGCTTTTAAACAATTTGTTACACCGATCTTTCTAAACTATATGCAGGTAAGAAGAACATGAACTTTCCATTTTGGATTGCTGAAGTGATTTCAGCACAGGTACCTCTTTTCCTCTTCCTAATTTAAATTTATACTTTTATTCTCTTCCTAATCTAATATTTACTTAATTTCATATTTGTTCTATCTTATATGTATGCGTTATGTTTGATGTGAACTCTGCATGTCTGAAAGAAAAAGTGTGAACGTGTAAGAAAGAGAAAGAAAATAGATAAGAGGACATTTTATGCCAAGACTGTACTTTCAGTCTCCCCAGTCTGCCAAGACAGCTTTTGTTGGAACTGAAAACTATAGTTTCAAGATTATGGTTTAATCTGTATTTTGAGGCTCAAAATACAAATTAAAACCCAGCTTTGAATTGTATTCAGGTTCTTGAACAAGTAATTGTCTTTATACTGCAAAGTTTGCTTGTCTGTTATATGTTTGTGACTTACTGCACGGCTGAGGCAACCATATTGTGATGGTGCCCAGGACATTTTTTTCAAAATTCCAAGTGAGCTCCATGGGTCCAAGAGCTGAAGACCCTTTAAACTAACCAGAATATTATGTTTGGCTGTGTTGGTTAGCAGGTAGCTTTGCACAGAGGAAATAATGCATGTAGAAACACTAGAATATAAATTTAATTTAAAAAGTATTGAGACTAGTGCTTGCATAGAAGAGAATAAATTGTATTTAGGAAGTAAGATAGTAGTAAGAGAGTCTGTAGTTACAGAGAGAAAACAAGTTAGGTGAGAACCAGAACTGCACAGGTCAGAGTCAGGAGGAGAAAACTGAATTGAGGAAGGAAGGAAGTGATGACAACCCTGGGAGTACCTGTCTAACCGAGAAGAGGCATATTACAAAGAGGCATGTAAAGGAAGACAAGGAAAGGAGATACAACTGGAGACTCCCTCTGCTAAATATCTCTACATCTATTACCCCTACTGGTCAAGAGGTTTACGGGCATAGAAAGTTGGTGTATTCAAAGTTGAATTCCAATGAGATTCATGAAATGTTCGTTTATACCAGGACATGGACTGCATCTAATCTTCAGTGCCCAAAGCTTGTTACCCCGTAGCTGCAGAAGAGGAAGAGAATGGATGCAAGTGTAGGACACAAAGGCTTGTCTCGGTTCATTCCTATAGCAATTGCACATTTTAGCTACATAGTTGAATCAGGCCCTAAAACTAAATACAATAAAACCAAGCATTTCTAGAGTATGACTGCTGTGTTTCATTGGGAGTGGGTTAGAAACAATTACATTTCAACCGGCTGTTTAGCCTTTCCCAGAATGATAGCATTAAAATGCATCAAATGACATTAGCAAGCCCATTTTGAGTTGGGGGAGCATAAAGCATGATTCAGCCCTAGTTAAGGGCTTTGTCTTTAATGCTTATAGATTTTAGTGGGAGAGTTATAAACATTTACCTAATGGTCCCATTGAAATCAATAGAGATGTGAAAGCATCTAGCTATGGATGAATTGTGTTCTGATTTTTTTTTTAATGCATGGCTGACCTATTAAATTTCCAGTCTGCAGAAGTAAGCTAATGTTCTAGCTAATTTTGTAAAACTATGCCATTTTTATAATACAGGAAGCTAGTTAAGATGGCCCCCATATACAAGGTAATAAGCAGAACATTCAGTTTGCTTTTGTGTTGGCTGAGCATCACAACAAGAATGCCAATTTGCTTTCAGGTACTGTACAAATAAGGTATGGATATTTCTGCATAGATCTATTATGTTCTGACCTTTTTGAGAAAATAAGTTCTGTTTTTCAAATAAGATTGAGTAAGCAATACTTAGGTTTGATTTGTGCAGCATGCTAAGTCAGAGAGCAGTTTACTTGGTTTTCCGTAGTGAGATGTGGGAACAAAGCAATTGTACAAGATAAACCACAATTTATAGCTTAGTGTTATGGAGAAATCAAGTCACTGTGACTTATTCAACAAACCACAATGAAATCCTATCCAATATAAGCAAACCCATGAAAATCATGAACTTTATTTAGATTGTCATGCTCTATGCTTCACCCACTTTCTATGTGAAAAGAATTCCTGGAGTTGCCTGTAAGCCAAGAATGCCTGGGCTACTGATTTTCTTCTCTAATTGAAGAAGTCGTGTAGTTTATCAGCTCAATTTGCTCAACTTGTTTAATCAGCCAGTGAGCAAACTATTGACTAGCATCACTACAACTGAAAAACCACTGATTGGGGACTGGAGCAGTACAAAGTTACTCAGAAATTCCCTACTTCTCTTTTAAACTATCATTATACAGTATATCAGCAGTCTTTGGTTCTTTCCACATAATTCTAGAACTCAGACTCATCCAACTAAACTCATCTGATGAACGATTCAATATTGATGAAAGCGCGTGTTATTAATAATTGCATGATTAATTTGTCAGAGCCACAAGATAGCAAATGGCCTCTAGCTTAGCTAGCTTCAAAAGGCAAGTTAACAACATCCTGGGATCCATCAACACCATGGATCAATTGTGACTCAACGGAACGATCATATACAGGTCCAAAACGTGACTGAGTACTGCTTGTTGGGAAGCAAACAGCAGGAGAGTGCCAGTACATGCATCTGGTCACTATGAGGAATAGGAAACTGAGCTAGAATAACCTTGGTTTGATCAAGCAGATTGCTTCATCTTCTAAGAAAGAAGAAAGGAAGACCAGTTTTTGCAAACGGGTAACTGACTAAAATAATCTTCAAAGCTATTTAGCTTTAACCACTGATTGCACTGGAGTTCGTGTTTGTCCTAGAAGCTGACTCAGGCTCTCCCTGTTTTCTCTTTCAGAATGTGCTCTTAGAACTCTCTTCCATCATGAAAAAGTGATAGTTTAACCACAATGTCACAGAACAGCAAGAATCTC